GCCAATGGGAGGGAAGCAGGGTCTGGGCAGTGGGGGATGGAAAGGGACTTGCTCCAGGCAAGGTGGTCTGCATGGCCATGAATAGTGTGGGGCGTGGGGCTGGGTGAGGGAAGCAGGGAGGGGAGGTGTGCACAAGACAGTCTCTCTGTTAGGCTGTGGTCCATACATTGAGCTAGTTGGAGCACACTTGCTGCAGTGTCTGGGTACTTTAAATCCAAGGGGAAACACTTTCAATTTGGATTAACATTCCCCTGGCTTGCCCACCTGAGAGTGACACCCTTACAATCGCCTCCTGAGCCCTGGCAGCCACCAGCCAGCTGTGAGCTCCAGTACATCCTCCACTCTGCCTCACCCCACTTCCCTGAGCAGCAGATCCTGTGTCCCAGGATTGGGTGGGGTCTCTCAGGGTCCTCTTCTGTCAGGCTAAGATGCTTGCTGCCCTGGGAACAGGGAACTCTGGTTTTCCCGGGCCCCACTTCCTAGTCTAACAGCGTGTCATTCATCTACAGACAAGGGGCCAAACCCTGCACTGGGGTAAATCGGTGCAGCTCCTTTGAGGTCAATGCAGTTATGCTGCTTTGCATCACCCGAGGACCTAGTCTGAGGGACCATGGAGCACCCCCAGCTGAGGGAGCGTGGTTTCCGGACACATGAAGGGCTGCTAGCTACAGACAATGGTGATGCTCCCTCTCCAGGGGGGAGAAGGGACTACAGGCTCCATTGTGCATTCATCCCCTTGGCCGAGGCTGCTAACAAGGAGCTAGTTAGTGCTGTGAGTGATGGAGATGCCTGTCCTGCAGCAGAGACCCACCCACCTGTTTGTTTCAACGAGGCCTCTCAATGGCCAATGCATGGAAACCATTTTGGGTGCGTACCAACCCGTGGTCGCTGTGATGCTGTAATCTAGAGGGGTGGATTGCCTACACTCCGGAGCCATCCAGTCCCCATGGCCGGCGTGATAGTGATGTAGCAATGGAAGCCCTCGAATGCGTTGCTCTGAATCCAAACTATATAGCCACATTCCCAGCTTCTGAACAGTACCGAAACAAGGAGGTGCCTTCATAACTCTGGGTAGGTCAGCCCAGCTCTGTAGTTTTGTTGGCCTCTGTGTGTGTGAGTGCGTATGCATGTGTGAGTGTGCACTGGACTTCTTACGCTGCACTGTCAGCAACGAAGGAGGAGCAGGGCTTTGTCTCTTTTCAGACACCCCAGAAAGGAAGCCGCTGAAGCAGGTCAGTTTTATTTTACAGCCACATTGATTTCCTCTGGGGTGCTAATCTGACACCTGTGGGTGGAGGACTTCTCCTGCTGGCTGCTAGCAATCCTCAGGCCTTTATCATCATCATCATCATCCCCATTTCTGCAGGAGATGGAAGCGAGGGGAAGCATTGCACTGGCTTTAGCTCAGACTGCCCCTTGCCTCTCTAAGGATAGCCCTGCTGAAGTCCAGGCCAGCGTGGTGCTAGGCAAACAGCATATAGACCGGTATTGTGTTATCTATCTCCCACTAGGCATTCCCGTTGCCCAAGGGCCCCCAGAAGCTGGGCCTATCTATTAGCATTCCATGAGGAGGGTCAAATGGGGATTAAGGTGATTGGCCCTGGGGTGGCAAGGAGAGGGCTTTCTTTGGCAGCAGCAAGCTAGCTCAGGCAGTTGTGAAGACAAGTCACGATACCCACATCCCCTCTGAAATAATGGTTGGATTTCTGCTGAGTGCACAACCCACTCCCCAAAGTGACTCTGAATCTATTAGTCTTTAAGGTTGTTTTTGTGGATACAGACTAGCACGGCTACCCCTCTGAAAAGTTACACCGAATCTGTTGTTTTGACCTGCAGTCAGGCTGCTTTCACAAACAAAGCAGTGTTAGGCTGACTCTGTATTTGCATGGGAGACTCCAAGGGACACCTCACTGCAGAGGGAAAGAGTGATGCAGGGGCCCCAGTAAGCTCCTGCTCTGTGCTTGTACAGTGCCTGGCACAATGGGGTCTCAGTCACTACTGTAATACCAAAAAGAAAAGGAGGACTTGTGGCACCTTAGAGACTAACCCATTTATTTGAGCATAAGCTTTCATGAGCTACAGCTCACTTCATTGGTTCCACAGTATGCATCCGATGAAGTGATGCATAAGCTTACGCTCAAATAAATGGGTTAGTCTCTAAGGTGCCACACATCCTCCTTTTCCTTTTGTGAAGACAGACTGACACGGCTGCTACTCTGAAACCTGTCATACCAGCACTACAGACCAGTTATGTGGTTTAGATATCTGCGACTCTCAGTGTCCTGCTCCTGGCTGGGCTGCCCTGATCATTAGTGCCCACACGAGCCACCTTCATCCGTCAGAAACACAAGTTAACTCAGCACCAGAATCGATTTCATGAGGTGCAGGGTGCAGGTGGAGCCGTAGGAGAGGGATGTGGACGTGGGGGCAGCAGGGCTGGGGAACGAGAGCAGAGAGAGACAAGCCCACGCACATCACTGAAGGATGGGGAAGGCCTGTGGGATTGGCACATGAGACCTAGGCTGTGAGCTCTGTGCAATGCCCAGCACGGTGAGACCCTGCTGTCAGGTGAGGGTCTCTGAGATCCACACTCCTGCATCAATAAACAATAAACATCTTCCCTCTCTGAGCAGCTTTTCGGCTCTAGCAGGTAGAGGCGGAAAGTTGTCCCCAGCTCCTGGCTCTTTGGTGGCCTTGTTCCAGTTCCCAGTGGCCGGTTCTGCATGTCACCATAAACACCAGCCTCATTCTCTGCACTAATTGGCCCCCTTGTGGGCAGTCTCAGGAGTGAGGTGAGGGGCTGAATGGACCCTGGAGACTGAACGCCTCTTGCAGCCCTAAAGGGGTCAGTGTGAGGCTCTCTGTTAAGGCTGCGGAGCTTTCCCAGGGCTGCTCCTGTCCTGGAGATGTGGAGAGGACCTAGATCCAGGCCACCTCGCCCCAGTGCTACATTCACATGAAAAATGTTTTAAATGGAATAATGATAATGGAAGAAATTGACAGACTAGGGCCAAGTTCCCCTGGGGGCTGGAAAGTGCCTTATTAGAGGGAGTTATAATAGCATCACGCAGGAGCAGCTCCCCAGCTACCTGTCCAGGCTGGAGAGTGACTTCAGGGTCAGGTGTAGAGGAAAATGGGGGTTCAGCACAGCCCTGTGCCCTGTGAGCCACTCCTATTTGCATGGCTCAGGGGAGAGAGGTGAACTTTGGTGTCAGAGGAGGGACAGTGACTGCTTGGAACTTCACCCTTGCCTCAGGCTGGACTTTGCCAAATACGTGGATTGTCACCTCCTCTGATCTGCATGCAGATAACATATTGTCACTGGGAATGAGGCTGAAAACATGAAGTACCCTGTCTGCTTGTTTCCCAGAAGGGCCTTAGGTACTAATGTGATACAAAAGCTAAATGAGGTAAAGGTTTGCAGATCAATTCTCGGAATAAGCAAATCAGAGGTGGAGTGACAGCGTCTGGGGGGTTTACTCCTGTCACTGTTTACAGAGTTTGGTTCATTTCCCTCAAAACAAATATTTCCAAGCTTTTTTTTCTATTTCACATGCAGTGCCAGCAGCCCAGTGCTTGTGAGCAGCCCTGCACTAACACACCAGTGTGCCCAGACCAGAGTTCTCCAGCTATTACATTGCTTTGGTTTGCTGTAGCAATCTGAGCCCAGTGGAAGCATATAGATAACATATATATCTTAGTAGTAGTGCACAGTCTGGAAGTCAGCTTGGAGATCAAAGCACCTTCACAGTTTATGCTGCACAGAGCCCCGTGGCTCTGCATCTGGTTGTATCAGTGAAGCTCAGGTAGGATCCTCATACACCTCCGTGGATCACCTGTGTGCTGGAGATGTCTTGGAGCCATCAGGCTGACTACTCTTGCTGGCTCCTTCCTGCCTTGCCTGGCTGTGTTCGGTGTGCTGCTGGTCACTGCTTCTACATCAGTACAGACACAGGGGGATGTCAAATGGGGTGACGGGTATGAAATGACCCTCCTGAGTGCTGGGCATTTCCTAACCTGCCAGCCTCAGGAGAAGCTCTGGGTGGAGAATCTGAAATGCCAGTCAAAGGCGCCTGGAGCCTGGGGCCTACAATTTGTTGTGAATGTTTGAAAATGGCTCAGTTTTCGAAAACGCCCTCAAACGTGAATTTTCACTTTAAACTGGCCCCACTTTCACTCAGCATGGCTGGTTTTTCAGTGACAAACATGTTTTTTAAAATACTGTTTACAAAATTTGAAATTGTTTCAGCGGTTAAAATACATGAATAAAACATGCAAAAAAGTTAAATTTTGGGTGTTCTGGATGGAAAAATAGCCATTTTGCTGAAATTGGGCAAAAGATAAGCTGTCTGGGTTATGAAATGGCTCAGGACACAAAGGCACCATTTTCCCAAATCTTTTCCCCCTTTTGTTATTAATTATTACTATTTCATATTTATATTCACTAGGCTCCAGCTGGGATCAGGGTCCCATTGTGCTGGGCATTGTGCAGACAGATACAGAGAGGTGGTTCCTGCAAAGAAAACCTACTGTGGCTACAGCTCCGGACTGGGACTCAGGAGATCTAGGTTCAGTTCCTTTCTGTCAGAGACTCCCTGTGTGACCATGGTCAACTCACTTCATCTCTCATTGTGCCTCTGATTCCCAGCTGTAAAGTAGGGACAATAGCCCTTCCTTTCCCCCACCCTTTGTCTGTCTGTAAGGTCTTCAGGGCAGTGACAGACAGACTCTCACTATGTGTTTGTAAAGCATCCAGCACAATAGGTTGTCTGGCACATACATTTCTGCAGCATGCAAAGGGTTAACTTTGTTTGTAAGCCACTGGGGAGGGAGGTGGTTGGCTGGGAAAGCTGGAACTGAACTGGTCTGGCAGATGGGTGGGGTAAGGTTGGTGAGTGATCTGGGAGAGCCAGTCAGATGACTGGTACTCACGTCATCCTCTGAGAATGTCTTTGAACCTCCACGTTGTATTTACATGGAGTGAGGTCCAAAGCCACTGGCTCTGCAGAGGCATATGGGACCTCTTGTCACCTGAGCACTTCTGCCTAATACTGATCCATATATAAAGGAGCAGCATATGACGGGCTCCAACTCACAGAGGACAGCAGGTGAACAGCAGCTAGGTAAGGTGCAGGTGATACAATTCGTTAATTCTGCAGCAGCTCAAGGCATTTTCCGGGGAGTGTTGTGTAGAAGTTAGAGCAGAAGTTTGTGAGCCAGGACTCATGGGTTCTATTCCCACCTCTTGAAATGTTACCTAGTGCTTAGGGACACTGGGAGTCATGTTTTCTGGGTTCCATTTCTGCATCGGAGGGGATATGGTTTAGTGGTTAGAGCAGGGAACTGGAAGGACTCCTGAATTCTAGACCCAACTCTTTCACTGACACACTCTATCTAGGTCACATCTCTATGAGCCCTAGTTTCACCAGCTATAAAATGGGATAACAATGCCGACCTACTGTGTGCTACAGTGGCCTGTGATGCTGGATTACTTAGATTGCAAAGCTCTTTGAAAGCCTTGGATAAAAGATGCTTTAGTCAGGTATAGTGCTCTTGTATGGATTTCCACAAGGGCCTAAACCTGTGAGGTGTGCGGGTGGTCTCACGTTAGAGCACCCTAAGGAGTTTGGAAATGAACCTCTATCAGGGCTTTAGAGTTTTCCATGACGTCAGTGGACGGATCTGTTAAAATGGTTTTCCCTGAGGTTGTTCCCAGACACCCAAAGCTGCCTTCTGAGTTATTGTCTTGAACACAGTGCCCAGGGCAGAGCTGAGCTCTCTGATCGTTTGGAAAAACTAATTTCAAACCAACGGTGATATTGACACAAAGAGGTGATTACCATGCACGAGTGCAAACTGAGGTCACCTGTGCTCTTGTCACAAGGACCACTGAACTTGGGTTATTATTTATTTATGTGTATTATGATAGTGCCTAGGGAGCCCTAGTCATGGACCAGGAATCATTGCTTATGTGCATCATTTGCTCCCACTCAGAGGCAGTTTATCTTGCTGACCAAGGGGGCCAGTTTTTGATAGCCTTACTCACACTGAGACTACCCTACACCTTGAGCGATCCCACTGAAATAAAATCAATGAAGTGGTCAGGTGCTACTCAATGGGAGGGTATCAGAATCTGGTCTCTTTGGCTATATTTTACATTCACTATCTGGATTTTGTGCCATCCAGCTGCAATTTAAATCACCACCTGAAATGTGTTTGAATCTAAAGAGAGTCACTGCAAAAAGCAGAAATCCAGAAAGAAGATCCAGGCATTGGAAAATGAACCTGGCCCCACCCGTGAACCGATAAAGTGAAGGCAAAGCCTGGGTCGTGGCAGGAACTCCACTAACTGCTTTCTGGTTGGTTTCTCTCCGCAGAGTCCCCGCCCAGTGACCAGACAGACCATGCCTCACAAAGCTGCACTTCTGGCTTTGCTCCTGGCCACCTTCTCAGGTTGGTGGTCTTCTCTATAACAATGTGCAGGGACTCAGTTCCTGGCTCTAGACATGAAAGGTGAAAGGTCTCCCTGCCCTGCTGGAGATTCAGCCGCGCAGCAGAGGTCCCTGGCTGCTTACAAGAGGATGCAGCTTAGCAAGATAGTATTTTGGAACAGGAGAGGACAAGTCCATTGACCCATCTTGCCCCAAACGAGAAAGGTGTTGCAGTAAGATGGCCCAGTCACAGGTCCCCAATGTGTTGCTCCTTTGATGTTCTCGCTGTACCCCAAGGCAGGGTAGCTCTGACCCTGTCACGGGAGTCTCAGGCGGTGTTCCTTTGACTCTGCCGCTGGACCCAACATGTGTCACTGGCCTCCACTTCTGTTGTGTCATGTGAGTCAGTCCCCCGACGAATCCTTCTGGTTATGCTGGGCCTGGCACCCAGAACTCCCACTGAAGTTAATGGGGGCTGCAGCTCTGGAAATCAGGGCCTTTATTACTTTGGGGAGGGGGCGCCCCTGGGACTTGTCAGTGTAGAGAAGACTCCTGACCATCCCAGGGATAAAATGTTGTCTCAAGGATTACAGACTGTGAGCTCCATCAGTTTAAGAGCAGCTCCCAACACTAGGTCTTCCCTTCACAGAGCTCCTCCATGCCACCTCCCTGCTACCAAGCTCATGGTTTGCCACCAAGGCTCTCCCGAGGTCATTCTGTTAAATACTCTTGTTCCACCCATGCAGCTTCTCAGGCTGAACAGGCGAGGAATGGGTTCTGGGATTACCTCAGCCAGCTCACTCACGACAAGGACAGCATGGCACATACCCAGAGCATGAAGCTGGACCAAGAGATCAAGTGAGTACCTCATTCTCTGGGGTTAAAGAATTAGTAGGTAGTACCCTGAAGCCCCTTGCCCTGTCAGAGACCCAAGCACATCTGGCTCCTGCACTATGCCTTCCAGTTGCTTCCAGGCTGATTGGCTTATTGATTGATTTTTAGAGAGGTATAGTGTCCCTAAAACCTTCACATATATATAGGCATTTTGGCATTTCCAAAAACAAATAACAGATGTCGTCAGTTGACTCAATACTATCCATGCTCCTTATGTGGCTGGAGATCTCCCAGCTGGCCCTACCCAATAATGACTGAAATAAAACAAAGAAAAGCTCAGTGGAAACCAAAAAGTGAATCCTGCAGCTCGGCGAACATGAGCTCTGGCCCAGCAGCCAAGACCGGGAGAGAGGACGGCAGGCAAGGGCTCTCTGCTGCGACAGGGCAGCGAGACTGGCGTGGCTTGTAATATTGGTTAGCCCAGCAAAACCGCAGGCAAGTGCTATGCAAACAGCTCTCTGAGGGCTCTCTCCCTGTACTCCTCTATTGCAGTTGTGATACCCCAATTCAGCTCTGCCAGTGCCCCTTATTCCTGACCTGCGTCCCCTCCCTGCTGTTCACTCATAACCCTTACCCCAGCTCTGCCAATGCGCCTCTTTCCTAATCTATCGCACTACCTGCTTGCCTCTCCTGAGCTTAGACTCATGACGAATTCTGCCATGCAGTTTTTGTTCTATGGGCGAAGTCCACAAGGGACTAATCTAAGATGAGACCCACCAGACTCATCTTCACTTATGACGCAAGGGTGAAAAGTTAGTGCTTTATATATCCTTGAGAGCCCCCTTTCTTAATGCAGCACTCAACTGTACAGCCATTATTTCTAGTAAAGTGACAAAAGTGTTAGGACGAGGAAGCAGAGCTCAGGCAGTTAAGTGTGCGTCTGTTGCTTCTTACAGAAAAGTGAAAGAAAGTATCCAAGAAGGAGTCAACCACATGGGAAATCTCCTTGAGAAACTGGCCCCACTTAACAGAGGACTTCAGCCACGGTTCTACCAAGACTCCGACAGCCTGCGAAGGCTCATCAGGAAGGAGCTGGAAGGCCTGAGGGTGAAACTGTCTCCTTATGTGGATGAGGTGCACCAGAAAATCAGCAAGAACCTGGAAGCACTTCGCTTCCAGCTGACCCCATTCACTGAAGAGCTCCTGGACCAGGTCTTGCTGAAATCTAGGGAGCTCCAGCAGCACCTCACCCCAACTCGAGACATGAAGGCCCAGTTCCTGGAAGGCGTATATGAAGTTCAGAGGTTTGTGGCTCAGTATGCCAATAAAATAGCCTTTCATATTGACCAAGTGAAGGAGGTCTTCCATCCGTATGCTGCCAGACTGGTGACTGAGATCCACCGCAACATGGAAGAGCTCCATAGAAACGTCACCCCACACACCAAAGTCAGCCCAGAGAAATTCAATCAGTACATCCAGGAGCTCTCTGAGAAGCTGACCCAGAATGCCAGGGATCTCCACCAGAAGATCCAGAGGAATCTGAACCACCTTAAGGAGCAGCTGCGCCTTTACCCCAGTGGCCTCAGGGAGCACATTGCTGGCACTACTGTAGACCCTAACTGGGCTGTGGACCCCTACATGGAGGGCCTGGCTCAAGAAGTGCAGCAGAGAATCGAGGAGTTCAGAAGGGACACGTTCCTCCAGATAGATGACTTCACCAGGACCATTGACCGGGAGACAGAAGAAATGAAGTTCAAACTGTCTCCACTGTCCTCATACTCAGAGGAGTTTCAGGACAGCTCTGCACCTCTGGAGGATTTACATGTCCGGCTTGACTCTCTGTGGAAGGATATTTCCCAGAGTTTAAATGAGAAAAGCAGCGATTTACAATGAAATCCTGTACCTGTGTATAGAGAGGGGTGTGCGTGAGTGTGTGTGTGTGCTCGTGTGCATGCTTAAACCATGCCAGTGGGAAAGAAAAACTGTCAAGAAGTCATGTCGTACTCTACTGCACTGTTGGCTAAGGACACCTGTGGCCATGACTTGGACAACTATAACAATAACATGCCATCAACATGGCTCCTCGTGCCACATAAGTACAGCTCTGTCCAGTTGCAGTGCTAGTCCAGAGTTCTCAAATCAGATGGGAGTTCAGCCAGCCCCTCCATCATTGCCCAGCAGTCCCCTGCGGCTGAAAAAACACTGCAACCTGCTCTCTCTTAGAAAGATAAAGCCACAAAGTCACCTTCTGTCAGAAGGATACAATTCTGTGACTCCTTATCAAATCATTTGGCAGGTTTCAGAGTATCAGCCGTGTTAGTTTGTATCCGCAAAAAGAAAAGGAGTACTAGTGGCATCTTAGAGACTAACCAATTTATTTGAGCATAAGCTTTTGTGAGCATGAAAGCTTATGCTCAAATAAATTGGTTAGTTTCTAAGGTGCCACAAGTCCTCCTTTTCCTTTTATCGAATCATGCAATTTTACTAAAATAATTCCACAAACCATCTTTGCTGCGGTCTTTTGAAAGCCAAATGGTCAGAGTGCTTATCTCAGCAGCAGGAAAGAGGGAATAAGTACCACACCTGTAATTACCTAAAGCAGTGATTCTCAAAATTCATTGCACCATGACCCCCCTTCTGACAACAAAAATTACTATACAACCCCAGGAGGGGGGACTGAAGCCTAAGCCCACCCCAGCCCTGCCGCCCCTCGGGCTAGGGGAGGGAGGCAAAGCTGAAGCCCAAGGACTTATGACCTGGGCAGGAGGCATGTAACCGTAGCCCCTCGGGCTTTGGCCCTGGGTGGTGGGGCTCGGGCTTGGGCTTCAGCACCGGGTGGTGGGGCTAGGGCTTTGGCTTTGGCTCGGCCCTAGGCCTCAGCAAGTCTAAAAACAGCTTTGGCCCCAACCCACAATTTGAGAACCTCTGACCTATAGCATACACTATATATGTATATATGTATATAAATATACATTTAGATATATGGCCCAGTTTTATAAACCTTACTCACATTGACTTCAGTGAGACTACTCAGGTGAGTAAGTACTAGTCAGTGGGAGTAAAAGGTCCAGAATCTGGTCCATACTGTATATCTTTGGATTAATACAGAGTTGAAATGTTGAATTATTTTTAAACTCTTGAAGCTGGACTTCTAGACTTTAACAATCTCCAGTGTGTTACTAGAGTGAATAGTACAAGCTGCTAGTGTACTGCACCCTATGTAGGTTACTCCGCAGTGTTAACCCTTTCCTTGCACATTCTGTGTATATATAAAATATCCCCCTCTATAGTCACAGCATTTTTTATGGAACAGTTGATGGGAAACATTCAGGTGTTTGGATGTTGTAAGTCACGGCCACAACAGTACTGAGAGGCCATTTGCTATATCAGTTTTATAGTTTCTTCCCCTGCAATTTAAATGACTGTCAAATCTGCTTCAATAAAGTTACGTTAGATTTCTTTGGAGTTGGTTTTTCCTTTTTTTTCTGTTGAAATTGTAAAATGAATACATTATCACAACGTGTAGACTTTTAAAGGCTATGTAGGAGTCACATTGTTTTGTCTCTCTCTACTACTTTGTGCTCAGATATCTGGGCTTCAAAACCCAGCTCAGCATCTGGGCACTTGGTATAACACAAGAACATAAGAATGGCCATACTGGTCCATCTAGCCCAGTCTCCTGTATTCTGGCACTGGCCAGGGCCAGATGCTTCAGATGGAATGAACAGAACAGGGCAATTTACTGAGTGAGCCATCCCCAGTTGTCCAGACCCAGGTTCTGGCATCAAAGGCTTATGGACACCTGGAACATGGGGTTGTGTCCCTGACCATTTTGGCTAATGGCCATTGATGGAGCTATTCTCCATGAATTTATCTCATTCTTTTTTGAATCCAGTTATACATTTGGTCTTCACAATATCTCCCGGCAATGAGTCCTGTAGGTTTACTGTGAGTTGTGTGAAGCAATTCCTCATGTTTGTTTTAAACCTACTGCCTATTAATTTAATTGGGTGAGTCCTGGTTCCAGTGTTATGAGAAAATAACACTTCCTTATTCACTTTCTTCACACCACTCATGATTTTATAGACCTCTATCATATCGCCCCTTAGTTGTCTCATTTCTAAGATGAACAGACCTAGTCTTTTTAATCTCTCCTTATATGGAAGCTGTTCCATACACCTAAGCATTTTTGTTGGCCATTGCTGTACTTTTTCTGATTCAGATTTTCTGATTCAACTTTTTTGAGACGGGGGCTGCATGCAGTATTCAAAATGTGGCTATACTAGGAATTTATATAGTGGTATTGTGATATTTTCTGTCTTACTAGCTATCCCTTTCCTAGTGGTTGCTAGCATTCTGTTCGCTTTTTTGACTGCTGGAGCACATTGAGCGGATGTTTTCAGAGAACTATCCAGAGTGACTCCAAGATCTCTTTCTCGAGTGGTAACCACTAATTTAGGCCCCCATCAGCTTTCTAGGGATCATGTTTTCCAGTGTGCCCTGCTTTGCCTTTATCAACATTGATTTTCCTCCGCCATTGTGTTGCCCTGTGATCCGGGTTTGCCAGACCCCTTGGCAGTCAGCTTTGGACTTAACTACCTTGAATGATTTTGCATCATCTGCAAACTCTGCCACCTCCCTGCGCACCCCTCTTCCCAGATCATTCACGTGCATCGGTTGGTGACGTGTGCGCTCCCCCACCCTCCTGCCATCCCCGGAGCCAGGCGGAGGCCTTCGCCCGACCCTGAAGCCTGTGTAGGAGTAGCCCTGCGTCACGTGGCCTCGCCGAGGCGTTCCTCCCTCCCCACGAGGCCCGCGGAGCACGCGCCCCCCCTAAAAGGGGGGCGGGGCCCGCCAAGGAAGTTCCGGGTCAGAGGGCGGCAAGGAGGCGGAGGCGGAAGCGGAAGCGGAGGGGCGCGGCGCGGCGCGGCGCAGCATGTCGGCGATCGGGGAGCTGGAGCCCGTGCGGGGCGGCCCCTTGTTCCGGCCCCTCAGCGCCGAGGACGAGGAGCAGCAGCCGGACGAGATCGAGTCCCTCTGCCTGAGCTGCTACCGCAACGTGAGGCCGGGGAGGGGCCGCCCCGGGGCTCGCCCCGCGCGGGGGCCGGGGGCCGGGCTGGGAGCGGGGTACGGGAGTCCCGCGGCTCCCCTGCCCGGGCGTGAGGGGGGCACCCGCCCCGCCCCGCCCCGCCCCGCCCCGGTGGGTCCATGTTCCCTTGGCTTTGCTCTTCCAGGGGGTGACCCGGCTGCTGCTCACCAAGATCCCCTTCTTCAGAGAGATCATCGTCAGCTCCTTTACCTGCGGCAGCTGTGCTTGGTCCAACACCGAGATCCAGCCGGCGGGGCGGATCCAGGAGCAGGGGGTGCGCTACACCCTCGCTGTTACTGCGCGGCAGGTGAGCCAGGCCCCCCCCTCCCCGTGTCGGCCTCTCCGGGCGGGAGGAGGGGGCAGGTCCAGACCTGGTGGTGCGGAGAGCCTTAGCCTTCTGAGGTGGCCTAGTTGCCACCTGCCGCTCGCTGGCCTTGTCTGGATCGGTCAAAACGTAATTGCTGAAAACCAGCAAAGCTGTCAAAAGCCTCCGCTTGGGGGGATACCAATGGCCTGACTTTAAGCGTTCAGCGCTGGTGATATAATAGGAAGCCCCTGAGTATCTTGTTGATAGTGGAGACTGAATCTGGGGCCTCGTGCTATGAAAGCCTGAACACCTACTTCCTGAGCTAGTAGACCCACTTCTCCTAGTCAAGGTTGTAGCAGGTTCATCAACCTGTGTATTGCCCAGCCACTGAAGGGGGAAGGAGTGCCCCACTGAATAAGCACAGGGTACACTTCCACTGCCTGTTGAAATTTAGTGGCTGATCCTGGGCTGTCTGCATCTCTGAAGACCATGCTTGTGCCTGTGCATCCTGACTGAAACTATAGGGCGAGTTGAAAGGGGTGGAATGTAGGTAAGCAGGTTCTAACCAGGACCCTAGGACTGTCACTACTTGTGGATAAAGCACAGCTGTCCTCAGAGTACAATATGGCAGCAATTCTGCTTGTCTGACTACTATAAAGTAACTAATATTTAATGAGGCACTATCAGCTGCTCGTTAATGGGATGCTGAGTCTCTGGGAAGTACTTTGGTGTAAGATGTCCACACAGCATGCTAAAACAGGCTGTTCTGTGGAGATGTTGTGGACATTTGAAGAAGGGAGAGCCAGTCAGTGGATCAGTGTTTTCCCTGATGCGTGGCATCAATCTTCAGAAAAGATTGTTTTTGTCAGGTTCATTGATGCTTTGATGTATCTGCACTTACAAGGTGGGCAGAGGAGATGGGGGTGGCTTAAGGTGGCCACCATTGAAGTGTAACTTACACTTATGAACTTAAGTTGAATGGGCAAATAACTGGTGGGAGAGGCAGCCCAGGGAAACAGTGAGTGGAAACATTGGTTTCACTGGCTCTGTGTGCGAATGATCTTCTAGTGGGAGGATGCTACCACTGTGTTCCCAATGTGCTTCTCAGGGTTGAATTCATTCTTACTTGCTTAGCATGTGTAGGGTTCCTGGCCTGTTGTAGCTTTGTTTTTAATCTTTCCTATACATTGTTCTGTCCAGGATATGAATAGGGAAGTGGTGAAGACAGATTGTGCCACGGCTAGAATCCCAGAGCTAGACTTTGAAATTCCTGCTTTTTCTCAGAAAGGAGGTAGGTATGTAATCTGAGCTCGTTTGTGGCTTGGGGTGGCTGGTAGCAATTTAGCAGAGGTGTTGGTACAGCAACAACTTTTGGCTACTGGAATAGACTGCTACCCTGTATCTGAGTATGACCTAGCCTAGACCAGGGTTTGGATCTTGGGGCATAAACTGATTCACACCAGTACGGCTTTACTGAGATGACTGACTGGATGATGGATGGAGGTGGGTAGAGCTAGGCTCTGTGGTATTACTGTCTTGTACTCTGGACCCCAATTTATCCTGCTGCTAGTCAGTGTCTAGCATGGAAAGCTAGCTCCCCCAAATCCTGCAGTGTCTTGGAGACGGTGTCACAGCCTAGCCCTGAGGCGCCTCTTCCTTCATGAATGCTTCTCATGTTGGCAGCAGCAGCTTCTTCTGTTGGAGGTCTGGGCTTCTGTCCACTGACATGTGCATGGTGAATCTGCAGCTGGATAGTGCTGCCTGAGTAGGGAAGAGACTAGAAATACCAGGCCAAAAAGCAGGAGCTCTTAAGAGTTCTTGTTTTCCCATCTGTGGGAATAAATAGTTCTAGGAAGGATTGGTGGGCTAGGGATGATAAATTTAGAAGATTAACAACATTGCTCTAGTGTACTTAATATTGTAATTAGGTCTGCTTTCTCCCTCAATCAAGCTCTTACCACAATCGAGGGAATAATTGACAGAGCTGTCGCTGGCCTGGAGCAGGATCAGCCAGTCCGCAGGGTAAGGTGCTTTAAGAAGGTAATATCAAAACAGATGTCCGCTTACGGATTACACTTGTCTACAAATTCTGTAACTATCACAGTTACACATCCCCTACTAGATGACGAGCTGAGAACGCTTCTTGGCTTGGCATTGTGTGCCTGTGACAGGCCTATCTGAAGGTCTAGGCTGGTACCAAAGATCCGATCTGATCTTGAGTATCTCTCCTTTCACAGGCAGCAGACAAAGGTGTGGCAGGAAAAATAGATGAGTTTATTGGCAAACTCAAGCAGCTGAAGGAAGTGGATTCTTCTTTCACCTTTGTAAGTATTAGCAGGAGGGTGGGGAAATGCATCTGCCCCTCTCTTTGGGGGCAAAACAAGGAGGATTCCTGAAGACTTTTCTTATACTTCCCTCTGTCAGATCATAGACGACCCCTCAGGTAATAGCTTTGTGGAGAATCCTCATGCGCCGCAGAAAGATGATGCTCTTGTGGTTACTCATTACAGGAGGACTGCCCAGCAGGATGCTATGCTTGGCTTGGAGGTATTATGTCTGGGTGGGGAAGGTGTCTTAAAGTCAGAAGTGAGGGGAGGCCTGGCAGGTGTTAGTTCTTCCCTCATTCCTACCCTCCGTGGCCTATATTCAGGTGCTAGACTTCCATAATGGAAAGGAAAATGCCCCCTTCAGATCCTAATCTGTGTCCTCCTTTATATGCCAGAGGGGATGCTGCTGAGTAGCAGAGGCATTCTTCTCTTCCACCCTGTCCCAAAGAGTCTGTTCAGAGATCCATGAATGGGAAGATGTATCAGGTATAATTATCTGAGCCTCTGAGTTGGCATACTGATATTGGCCTCTATGCTGTTTCAGACAGAGGAGACTGATGAGAACCCAGCTGACTCTGTGGAGGATCTGAGGAATGAAGTGAGTAATGTTCCTGGTTGGCCACCTGGAGCTCTCTAACTGGATTGCAGCTGTGTCCTGATTGCTCTGAGGAACATATGGTAGTGGGCGCACACATAGGGATACCGATACCTAAACTGCCCCATTTGCTGGACTAATTTTTTC